AAAAAAAAAAAAACAGAAAAGGAAGAAAAGACCAAAATGGATGTCAGAAGAGACTCTGAAACTTGCCCTTGAATGAAGAGTAGCTAAAACAAATGGAAGAAATGATGAAGTAAAAAAGCTGAACAAAAGATTTCAAAGGGCAGTTGGAGGAGACAAAATAAAGTATTATGATGAAATATGCAAAGACCTGGAGTTAGAACACCAAAAGGGAGGAACATGCTTGACATTCCTCACACTGAAAGAACTGAAGAAAAAGAAAAAAATCAAGTTTCAATATTGAAGGATTCTATGGGCAAAATACTGAACGATACAGGAAGCATCAAAAGAAGATGGAAGGATACAGAGTCACTGCACCAAAAAGAACTGGTCGACGTTCAACCATTTCAAGATGTAGCATATGATCAAGAGTCAATGGTACTGAAGGAAGAAGTCTAAGCTGCATTGAAGACACTGCAAAAAAAATAAGGATCCAGGGATTGACAGAATATCCATTGAGATATTTCAAGACAGGGAATCAACACAAGGAGTGCTCACTCATCTATGCCAAGAAATGTGGAAGACAGCCACCTGGCCAACCAACTGCCCATTCCAAAGAAAGGTGATCCAACAATGCAGAAATTATTGAACAATATCAGTACTATCACAAAAGTAAAATTTTGCTGAAGATAATTTAAAATGGTTGCAGCAGTCCATCAACAGGGAACTGCCAGAAATGCAAGCTGGATTCAAAAGAGGACGTGGAACGAGGGATGTCACTGCTGACATAGGATGGCTCTTGGCTGAAAGCAGAGCATCTAGAAAGGTGTTCACCTGTGTTTTATTGACTCTGCAAAGGCATTCAACTGTGTGGATCATAACAAACTATGGATAACATTGCAAAAAAAAAAATGGGAATTCCAGAACACTTAATTGTGCTCATAGGAACCTGTACATAGACCAAGAGCCAGTTGTTTGAACAGAACAAGGAGACATTACACAGTTTAAAATCAGAAGAGTGTGCATCAGGGTTGTATCCTTTTACCATACTAATTCAGTCTGTACTCTGAGCAAATACTCTGAGAAGCTGGACTATGTGAAGAAGAACTCGGCATCAGGATTGGAGGAAGGCTCATTAACAACCTGCAATACACAGATGACACAACCTAGCTTGCTGAAAGTAAAGGTGACTTGCAGCACTTAAGATGATTCAAGACTACAGCCTTCAGTATGGATTACACCTCAACCTAAAAATGAAAATCCTCACAACTGGACCAATAAGCAACATCAAGATAAATGCAGAAAATACTGAAGTTGTCACGGATTTCATTTTACTTGGGTCCACCATCAGAGCCCATGGAAGCAGTCAAGAAATCAGACATTGTATTTTTGCACTGGGAAAATCTGCTCAAAAGACCCCTTTAAAGTGTTAAAGAGCAGAGATGTCACTTTGAGGACTAAGGCACACCTGACCTAAGCCATGGTATTTTCATACCTCATATAAGAGCTGGACAAGGAATAAGGAAAACCAAAGAAGAATTGATGCATTTGAGTTGTGGTGTTGGCTAAGAATATTGAATATACCATGGACTTCCAGAGGAACGAACAACTCTGTCCTGGAAGAAGTGCAGCTGGAATCCTGCTCAGAAGTGAGGGTGGTGAGACTTCATCTCATGTACTTGGGACATGTGATCAGGGGGAACCAGTCCCTGGAGAAGGTGTTTGGTAAAGCAGAAGGTCAACGGAAAAGAGAAGGACCCTCAACAAGATGGACTGTTGCAACAATGGGCTCAAGCAGCTGTGAAGAGGTGCAGGGCCGGGCAGTGTTTTGTTCCGTTGCACATGGGTTGCGATGAGTCAGAAGCAACTCAACGGTACCCGACTGCAGCAAGCATGCCCACCCCTACAGTGTTTTGTACCTACTTATTTAGTCTGTTTCCTTGGAAGAACATGCCTTTCCTGGGGAAGTCTGGGTGTCTGGGAAATGCTTCTTGGGTGGAGACTAGTGTCCCCAACCTGGTCCTACCTTAAAGGCCCAGGATTTGGAGGAGTTTTGGAGAGAAAGAAAAGGAGGCCTGCAGTGCCAACTAGAGGAGAGGGGAGAGGAGAGGAGGCCAGAGTAGAGATGGTGACAGAACTCTGGAAGATTCTGGAACCTTCACCCCATCTTTGTGTTGTTTTGTTCTCATACTCATGTGAAAGCTAGACAATGAACAAGGAAAACCGAAGAAAGAGTTGATGACTTTGAATTGAGGTGCTGGCAAAGAATACTGAAAATACTATGGAGAATACTATGGAAGAACTAACAGATCTGTCCTGGAAGAAGTGCAGCCAGAATGCTCCTTGGAAGCGAGAATGGCCAGGCTTCATCTCACCTGCTTTGGTCATGTTGGGGACTAGTCTCTGGAGAAGGATATCATGCTGGGTAAAGTGGAGGGTTAGAGAGAAAGGGGAAGACCCGCAACAAGATGGATTGATAACGGTGGCGCCAATGGCAGGCTCAAGCATAGCAAGGACTGTGAGGACCATGCAGGACCAGGCAGCGTTTCGTCCTGTTGTACAGAGTAGGGTCACTATGAGTCAGAGCCAACTCGATGGCACCTAACAACAACATGTTTGTTGTACTTTTTTGTGCTGGGAGTTTTCCTAGGTGGTCTAAGGTAGGACTGTAAAGGGAAGGGGGTGTGGGGTGTCTGGTGGACACCATGTCCCCAGCTAGCAGAAGAGAGGAGGGCAGCTCCGCCACGATCCCTCGTGGAGACCCCTTTATCCTCAAGTCGACCAGATGTATGTTGCATCACTTGCAACAACTATAAAAATTGGTATCAGGAGTGGGGTGTCTTGGGCATGGTTCTTGGGGAATGTGGGGAACAGCAGCCACAACCTGTGCCCACAGCAGGGGTGCTGTGGGGGACATCACAGAGTCCCTTGCCAGGGAGAGCCCTCCTCCATGAGAGGGACTGGGGAGCCAGTTCCCCACTAACCAGGTTCCCTCTCCACAGCCGGGTGGTTACTGAACCTGCAGCACTTGACCTTGGGAGCCCAGATCGGAGAGGGGGAGTTTGGAGGTGAGTGGAGGTGTAGGCTGGAGACTGAAAAAATGGGAATGCTACTCAGTTGCCTACTAGCTGTGCAGCTGAGCCTCAGTTTTCCTCTATGTAAAAAGGGGCTAACAACAGCTGTTGTGAGGAGTACATTAACCCCAGCACACTCCCTAAACATTAGCTATTCCTTCAGACCTCTGTGCTCTTGAACATGATGGTCCCTCTGCTCAGAATGCCATCCCCTGAAATTATTATTTCTAAAGGTTCTAGGGCTTGTGCCAGGGGTTGTCAGACTCTTTCTGTAAAGGACTAGAGAATCAGTATTTTCAGCTTTGTGGCCCAGATGGTATCTGGTCTACCCAGCTCTGTGGTTCCAACAGTACCTGCCGCCAAAGGTGGTATGCAAATGAGTAGGTGTGGCTGTGCACCAATAAAACTTTATGGGCTCTACCATTTGAATGTTCTATCATTTTTACACGCCACAAAATATTCTTTTTTGTTTCTCCGTCAACCATTTAAAAATGTGAAAAACTATTATTAGCTCAGGAACTGTTTGAAAACGGGTGGCAGGCTGGAATCCGCCCAACGGCTGGAGTTTGCACACCCCTGACTCACGTGATGCCCTTTGATCAGGGCCGGTCTGGGACTGCAACCATGCTGGCGCACGTGGGAATCGGTGTGAGAGGGTGGTCTGTTAGGCCCCGTTTCCATTTCCATCGGGGTCCTGATTTCTGTCCCCACGCCTACCTCCTAGCCGTCCTGCAGGGGGAGTACCTGGGACAGAAGGTGGCTGTGAAGAACATCAAGTGTGATGTGACGGCCCAGGCCTTCCTGGACGAGACGGCGGTCATGACGTGAGTCCCCGCCGTGGGGGCAGGGCGGGTCCCGGGGCGGGGGCCCCGGCCACGCCCTCACCCCCGTCCCCGCCCCGCCCCACACCCAGGAAGGTGCAGCACAAGAACCTGGTGCGGCTCCTGGGCGTGATCCTGCACCAGGGGCTCTATATCGTCATGGAGCACGTGAGCAAGGTGGGGGCGGGGCCTCTGACGGGGGCGGGGCCTGGCTCCAGAGGGGGCGGGGCCTGAGAGTCTAACGGTGGGGATTCAGGTGGAGGCGGAGCCTCTGGCGGGGGCGGGGCCAGGTTCCAGCGGGGAGGGGGATTCGGGTGGGGGCGGGGCCGGATTTCTGAAGGGGGGCCTGGGGGGGAGGGGCACCCGAGCCGCCGTGAAACCCGGCCTGTACCGTTGCGCAGGGCAACCTGGTGAACTTCCTGCGGACGCGGGGCCGCGCCCTCGTGAACACCGCCCAGCTCCTGCAGTTTTCGCTGTGAGTGGGGCTTCTGGAGAGATGGGGGAAAGTTGGCATCGCGCGGGGAGGAGCCTGGCCCTGGGAGCGGGCGGCCCGCTAGCTCCGCCCGACATCCCGCCCCCCAGGCACGTGGCCGAGGGCATGGAGTACCTGGAGAGTAAGAAACTAGTGCACCGCGACCTCGCCGCGCGCAACATTCTGGTGTCTGAGGATTTGGTGGCCAAGGTCAGCGACTTCGGCCTGGCCAAGGCCGAGCGGAAGGGCCTGGACTCCAGCAGGTTGCCCGTCAAGTGGACGGCGCCCGAGGCTCTGAAGCACGGGGTGAGCAGCCCACCCCCTGGAGCTCAGGGGCAGGCGGAGCGGCTTGGTGCTCCAGGTCAGCAGGGTGACCCTGGGTGCGTCATATGACCTCTCTGGACCCCCAAGGGAGGTGTGGGTAAGGAGAGGCCCCTCCTGGCCCCCAGGAGCACTTGGCATTTAATTGTCCCTTACAGCCTCTGTCCAGCCCCTCGGTTGTGTGACCCTGTCTGGGCATCAGCTTCCCTAGCTCTGAGATGGACTTGAGAACTATTGCGCCCAGCGCTGCACTAAAAAACAAACAAAAAAACCAAGCTCACTGGCATCGAGTCCATTCGGACTCATAGCGACAAGACACCCTTTGGGTTTCCGATGCTGTAAATCTTTACAGAAGTAGATCAACCCGTCTTCCTTCCGCGGAGTGGCTGGGGGTTTGAACTGCTGACCTTGTGGTTAGAAGCCAAGTGCTTTATCCATTCGGCCGAGCGGCTGGAGTTTGCAGACCCCTGGTTTACCTGATGCCCCTTGATCAGGGCCGGGGCTTTTAGGGACAAGGCTTTGCAAGGTCTGGGACTACAACCATACTGGTGCACGTGGGAATCGATACGAGTGGTGTGTCCATCAGGCCCCGTTTCCATTGGGGTCCTGATTTCTGTCCCCACAGCCACCTCCTAGCCGTCCTGCAGGGGGAGTACCTGGGACATAAGGTGGCTGTCCTCACCCTGATCTCTCTCCCCACAGAAGTTCTCCAGTAAGTCGGATGTTTGGAGTTTCGGGGTCCTGCTGTGGGAGGTCTTCTCATACGGCCGAGCTCCTTACCCCAAGATGGTGAGCAGGGCCAGGAGGGGTGGCTGCTGGGTCCTGAGTGGGTCTAGGGGCTGTGGCTCTGACGCCCTACCCATGCCGGTGTGCACTCTGTCTGAAGTCCCTGAAGGAGGTGTCTGAGGCTGTGGAGAAAGGCTACCGCATGGAGGCCCCTGAGGGCTGCCCAGGCCCAGTCCACGCCTTGATGAGCAGCTGCTGGGAAGCTGAGCCCGCCCGCCGACCACCCTTCCGCAAACTGGCTGAGAAGCTGGCCCGGGAGCTGCGAAGCGCTGGCACCCCAGCTTCCATGGGGGGACAGGAGGCCGATGGCTCCACGTCACCCCGTGCCCAGGAGCCCTGACCTCCCCAGTGGGGCTGTGGCCCCAAGGACCAAGAGGATGTGGGGCACAGGAGGGCACAGGCCGGGCCTGAGGAGGGTCGGCTTGCCCAGCTGCCCTCCCGGCTCACAGAGTAGGGCAGGCCTGCAGGGGCTCCAGCAGCCCGTGGACATCACAGACCCCAGGAAGAAGAGGCTTTGCTCTTCAATAAAGACACTGGTTCAAAGGACAGTGGGTGTCTGTGTCTCTCTGACCCTGGTGCCCTCTTCCCTGGAGGGAGCCACACCCAATCTCCCCATGGACCATGTGCTTTGGATCCACCCAACCATCTACCCATCCATCCACTGTCTATCTATCCACCATCCTCCCATCCATCCAGTATCCATCCATCATACATCCACACATCCCTCTATCCATCCATCCATCTACCATCCACCCACACATCCATCCATCCACACATCTGTCCATTTAGCATGCATCCACCCATCCATCCATCTACCACCCATCCATCCATCCACCATCATCCACACAT